GATGATCGCGGGGAAAACTTTCATACAATTTTAAACAAAAACTTTAATACAATCCTTGACATTCTGAAAACTTCACGACTAGGCAAAGAAATTCAAAAATGAAGTATTTTTTGGTAATCCATTGTCCTAATTTACATGTTCTGCTAAAATCTTTACCAGCCCAATTTTTTATTCTGCATTAAGAAACTGTAGAAAACTTAAAAATTGAGAACTCATGTATTGATTCATCATGTATTTGCAACTACACATAGAAATCCACAATTATTTTGAAGTTCAAATCAAACACTCAAAATTTGCAGTAAGGTCAAATTCCAGCAAACCAAAATCCATACCTTCTGTTGTTTCTCAAATGATGTGAGAAGAACCTTGCTTATTTCATTATCTAAGTCACTGGGCACCTTCAAAGGGGAAGCTTAAAACTATGGGTTTTATATGACATAGCTTTATCCAGTGGTCGAAGATTGCTTTCAAAGATTCAATGGTCAGAAAGCCTTATCTCAGGAAAGGTGAAAATTATTCTACTGGTTTTCAAAGCCGGTGTTTTGCTTTCATAGAAACATACCCTGTTGTCGATTTGCCTTAGAGTTATATTAGCTTGATTACGATCATCTGCTTCCTTGATAAGATTCAAAATAAGCAGTGCGTTCGGATCATTTGTAGCCTCCTGCAAACGGGGATTAATACAATTCCGTCGGAATCAATACTCTCAAGATGAAACAGCGGAAAGCAGGTGCTGCTTAATAGATGAAAGGAGAAAACCTTACCTTATCGATAACTCCAATAAGTTTTCCAGAACGAATAATAGAAAGTGCACTTAGCGAATTGCCAAAGCGTTCATCGGTTCGCACCTCAACGTTTCGCAGAAATTCACCGTCAATGCTCATATTGTGTTGCTACCGTAACCAAGGAGGGTTGTGAGAGGAGGTGTTGACGTCGTCGTGGTGGTGATACCTTAAGCGGCGAGGATGCTTGAGGGATGTTCAACTTCCCGCGCCTCCACCCCGCCCTCGGGATGAAGCGGGCGAATCAGCATCGCTAGGGGGCGGGGCGGCAAGAGCACGAAGACCTGTTCGGATGCGCCTAGCTGACGAATTACGGTAACATCGCCGGGCAGATGGTAACAACGATGAGAAGATTGGGAAAGATATGCAGGAGAACCTTTTTTGTAGTTTAATGATATGAAGGTAATTCCCTAAAGTTAGAGAAGGAAGATTTTGTTTCATTTTTAGAAAGAAAAGATGTTAAGTATGACGTTGAGAGATTGTCACATTAGCTTTCTTTTAACACTACGAAGATGACTCTCCATACGTTCTAGGGCTCGTTCAAAGCCTAATACGTTCTCATATGTCAATCCAGTGAAATGAGCGGCGCTAAACGAGCTTATCAGCCAAACATCAAACCAAAACATGCGCCGCAAAAGGTCTCAATATACGAGGGATGTCTAATTGAAAGACTAATATT